GTTCATCACCCCCAACGATATTTTTCAAGTAACAGTTTCACAAAGACATCCTATCAAGCAGGCAGAACTGTCAAGCTTAGTCGCAAACATGCCCGCATGTGCAAAAGATAAAAACGCGAAGATTCATTTTTTTTTTTGTTGTCCCTGATGACATATACGATACATTCAAATATCAGGACATCATAACACGAGACAATGATACAAAAGCTTCCAGAAGGTTAAAACAGTTAATCCCATCCTTAATAACTTAGAACAGTGGGTTTTAAAGATCGACATGCAATCTACTTCATGTTGAACAAGTAGTTCATGTTTTTTTTTTTTTTTTTTTTAAAAAAAATAGTTTATGAAATCACATATTCGCTGGACAAACAGCATGATTTATATTTGAAGAAGTGTTTTTTTTTTTAATAAAAAAAAAAAGTAATTCGCTGGACAAATAGTATGATTTATCAAATAAAGATAGTTCAGAGGAATGTAGATTACTTTTATCTATCTTACAATGACATATTAGAGGTCATTAAAAGTCGTAGGCCAACATTGTTATTATTAATGACGAATTAAAAACAATTGATTCTAGAAAAATCGGTATAGAGTAAAAAATAAAAAAAAAACTTTGGGACAGCAGTACATGTAAAAAATATACAGATATATGTATTATAAATCAATTTTCTCTAAGGAGCTCAAATATAATGATCCATCGATTTCCACCGTTTCATGCTTATTTTGGAAATGACTATCATAAGCAGAATTTAGATTTGAGGTGGTTCATATAGTACTTTCTTTAGGAGTATTTCCTTTAGGAAAATTCACTAAAATCACATTAAGAGACTGTTTTATTATTGCCATCGTTGGTCTTTTTGAAGGAACCTAATGCCAACAACTCTTAACTAAATAAACATACTTTTCGGTGCATTAGAAGAAAATGTTTCCCGTTCGTTATGATTTTAAGTGCTAATTTGAGTCATTTTGGCCATGAAATGGTTTATGACATGCAGAAATTTTACCTCTAGAGAATATATATCATCAAATGGGTATTTCGAATTTTTAAGGCAGTATATGCTATTAAATCAAAGGATAGCTCAGAAACACGTGATAGACCAAAGTCAGTGATCATGGGATCGCCGTTTTCAATATTACCCTATTTAAGAACGTTCAAGTTAATTCTATATTCGATTATAATTAGTATAATATATAGTTATTTAACTTAAACTATGAAAGTCCTGATTAAAATCGAGTCAATTGAGAAAAAGATTAATTAAATTTAATGTACATTCTCAAAAGATTTCAGTTATACTAATATATAGCCATCACGTACTCAATGATATATTTTTTCGCGATGAATAAAGACAATCCAATTGAATTTGTTTAGCCACTGATATCATGATAAAGATGCACCATGATGTTTAAGATAATCTCGAAGGTTACCATTCGCCACATATTTCATAATCATTCCCAAATTACCCCTCGTAATACTATGAAATTTTACCATCATGAACGCGCTTGTGTAGCCTGATTTCATCAACGAAATCTTTTTGGTCAAATAATTGTTTTAATACAACAGGAGTATCATCCCAATAAGCAAGATGTACAATGCCAAACCTAAATACAAATAATCAGAAATCGTTTTTTTCTTAAAGTAAAAATCAATTTCTCGAAAAGAAACTCACCCTCCTTTCATCAAAAACTTGTCAATGAAGATCTGGTTATAATCAATAAACCTTAGGTGTTGTTGTTCAATCGCAATTTCTAGCCAACGAGTGGCCTGATCTTTGTTTCCATCTTCTTTTCGTTTCTCTTCTAATACTTTCAACTCTCTTTCAACATCATCTTTTAATTTTTTCAAAAATTCTTCCTGTTCTTCGATAGATAATTCTTTCTGAATTTTCATGGGCGAAAAAGCAACTGATATTGAACCGATAGAATTATCAAGACGTCGATTAAGATCAGTAATTAAACGGTTTATTCTAAAATCTTCAGCGAGATTAGGCACAGCATTGGGACGCACAGGAAGTTGTTGCTGTTGTATGAACATACGAACATCCATTATAATGGCTATTTTTTATAAAAATAAAATATTAGCAAAAGTAATAAAGTATTAATTCGTTCATTAAAAAATTACCTTTAACACTTTCCAATCCATTAGCAATTCCTTTTAAATCCCACTTCAATCCAATAATCGATGGATCCTCTTTTTCTATTATATTTAGAAATTCTTTAACTTTTTCACCAATGGTTTGTAACCGTCCCGCAAAAGATATACAATCACTCTTATATGTTTTAGCATTTTGGGCAGTGAATTTACAATTGGTAGTTTGAGAAGCTATTAAAGAAGCGACACTCTTAATATTCGCAATATATTGATCCTCTGGTGAAGATTCAATAGATTCGTTTTCCATAATGTTGGTTAAAACGGTAGTAGTGTGACAGCTAAAGCAAAAACCTAGAAAAGATGAACTAATAATTTTTGTAGTTATGTAATTAATTCGGTCTTACAAATAAACTATAATTAGGTATAATTCGGGTACTAAATAAATGCATGGATATTGGTGAAACATTTGTAACTTTAAAATTTTACTTGCATATAGAACTAGAAATTTGCAATTATATTAATATGAAAATAATTCTTTCGTTTGGAATGTATATATTTTGACAATGATCTATTAGTATTTTTTTCATAACTTTAATCTTTTATCAGAGCAAAGAGATAATTTATTGCGAGGGTAATTATAATGTACACAACTTGTTATAAATTTTGGATTGAGAGTTATTAGTAACGCAAACGCCATCTTAGAGGAGGTTATAGCTGTTAGACAAATTTAGAAGCTTATAATTGCGAAAGTCAAATTTTGGGTGTTCGCAATTTCATAGTGATCGCAATAGTGTACAAGTAATATGACGTAATTTTAGTTATTCTCAACATTTTAGATAAAAGTCAATAATGCGAATGACCATATTGTTGATAACTATCCTGTGATTTGCTAATAATTGTAGTTACTAGATAGATCAAAGTAAAGATCTCACTCAATTCAATCAATGCTTGAGTAAATTCTAAATGGTTTATAAAATAAAACGTAATATAACGGCACTACGTTAGGAGTATGCATATATTCAGTACGGTACGGTGGGGCTGTCTGTCAGCTAAGTAAATCAAAACTATATATGGTATAATATAAAATTTTACTACGTATAAAATTTTTTCGTGATAAAGATTTAGATGCAGGGTTCTCACAACAAAAAATTAGAATCCCAAGCTTTGAATGGATCGATAGAAGGTCTCCGCAATGCAAGTTACAGAGCCAAATTTTATATTTGTTTAAAAAATTTTTGCCGGAAGCTTAAATTTCGTCCGGATTATCCAAACAACAAATACAGTACACATAAAATAAGTTAGATTCGTTCTCCATATATAATGTAAAAAATGGCTCTGTAATATTGTTACTGGGATAGGAAAGAGTCGATTGGCATCAAGATTTTCCGCAAAAAAAGAAAATACAACCTGTGCATCTAAAAAAAGTACACAATTTTATATATTTTTATATATAAAAAGTATACAATTTTATATATTTTATATATAAAAAGTACACAATTTTATATATTTTATATATAAATACTGTATATTACTGATTAATCATACTAATGAAAAAAATTCAGTAAGCTCCGACATTAGTGACCACATAAGTTTTGATTTACTTAGTTGACAGACAACCCCAACGGTACGGTGGTTTGGGTCAGTACTGTATGTACTGTACGGTAATTACCAGCATCTTCGATTCCCTGATCTCTTCTAAAGCAACCTAAATTATACGATTTTTTCTTCTTTCCCGTTCGTTTGTATTTGCTATCAATATTTTGACTAAAAATAAAAGTTGGTCTTGTGTTAATACCGTACAGCGCTGCATACAGTACCCCGGGTATTTTACAAAAAAGCCGGTCTAGATTAAATAATACCCCCCAAATATCGAGAGACGGAAGGATAACACAAATAATCGTTACTGATCACTATATACTTTGTTATTAAACATATCGAACCAAATGAAAAGATCGCACTATTAATATGAAAACTGGACCACAAATCGTTTGTAAAAAAAAAATGGGATACTATTCCAGGGGGGTACTATATGCAGCGTTATACAGTAATACAAGTAAAAAGAAAACACGATAAACAAATGATTACAAATCTCGCGTTATACAGTGCAGACAACCTAGTCCCGACAACCATATTTGACTAATTTCAAAATGCTAATCCTTGTTCATAAAAAACAATAAACAAAAAAACCTCTTCACAGAACATTAAAACCATGCAAGTTAAACATTTTGATGATTTTAAATTTTTTTGAAAATTTATTTTTAATAAAATAGTAGAAAATAAAGTCGAGGCAATTTTATAATTAAACAAGCAATTTGGCCGCTCAAAATATACTATTAAACAGGCAAATTGGACCACTTTTACACATTAAATTTGACCGCTCTATATGCCACACTATATATTAAATTGACTATGTTAAATTAATAATTTGACTAAAATTTTAAACTTGGCCGTATCATATATATAAAAATTTAAATTTAAATTTTGCCGCTAAAAATTTTCATTTATTGGGACTAGGTAGGGTTGTTAAAACTTACCTGACAAAATAATTTACAGAAGTTACACCATAATTTACTGTAATTACATGGCCCATATGTAAGTTACAATATATGTACTAAAGCCGGCCGAATCATGTGATAATTTCTACTGGCAATAAGTGAAATTTATATAACAAATAATTTACGCCATTTATACGTACTGTAATTTTATTACAGTACTAGTAAATTGCAAATAAAAATATTTTTGAATTCGCGTTGTTAATAACTTGAAAAGAGAGCCCAATTCGTTCATAGTTTATAGTCCATGAATTTTGTTTAATGTGTTTTTGTTCGTTTTTATCATATCTACCCAATAATATTCGAGTCAAGCTGTCTTAATTCTTAGTTAAGTTGAAAAACGAAGGATATTCCATTTTGGGAATAGAGCCATTCGTAATATCGGAGAATCAATGAAAGTAAATAAATAAATAATTTATATCACGGAAAATTGTCTCTATTGTTGAATGACGCACTTTATATGTTGGGCTAATGCTCAAGTTTCGTGCGCCGTAATGATTTACAATATAAATGCGCAGGTATTGTAACGAATTTAATTTTATAATCTTACCCTTTTTGGTGTAATTGATTATCTAACTAAATTAGTATCGTGATTGTTAAAGCCTTCGAAGGAGGCAGTGTGCATATTGACATGAGGCTAACACGATAGCGTGGTGCCTCTGATGTCATAAAGTAGGTTCCAGAATGTGTTCTCTTTCATATTAATCGAAATGTATAAAAGTGAAGCATTAATTATAATAAACGGCATTCATTGTGCGTCGCTCTCCCAACCAACCATTACAGTATCCGTCTTCTTTGCAGCTAATTTCCGTTACAAAAAAAAAATTTATTTCGTAAAACCATTTCTTCTAAAAACATGATGTCTTTACCAATCGAATGTTTGATCGAAATTTTAAAAATCTTCAAGGCCTATACGGGCCTTGTTTTTTCTTGCCTTCTCGTGAACTGCCTTTGGTGTCGATTGATCGTGGAAATGTTGTGGAGCGATCTTGGCGAACGGTTTGGTGACCCCAGTGTCATCACGACCCTACTCTCGTTTTTAAACCCCGAAGAACAATCGCTCTTAATCCCATTTAACATCGAACTTCCGACCCCCCAACACCACCATTATCCGAATATAATAAACTTATTCAACCAATTTCGCCGCATTTAATTACCGGAGTCATTAATTGGCTGGGGTTCCATGAAATTAATGACGATGATGGTACAAACCGCGTTCAGGTGCTCTCTAATTAAAATACTATTACGAACAAGCGATAAATTAGAGCACCTCCAAGGGGCAAAAATTAATATGATAAATTTTCAATTAAATAACGGTTATAGAAAGCAATATACAACACATAGAAATAATACAAATAATTTAAAGTTTAAAACACATAGAAATAATACAAATAATTTGAAGTTTGAAACACAGAAATAATACAAATAATTTGAAGTTTGACATTCTAAAAAAATAACACTAATTTAGTTTATTTTTATTTAATTATTTGGCTTTAGTTTATTTGTTTAGTTTCTTCAATAAATTATGTACAGTTACAGTTTGGAACCGGATTTCATTTTTCGATTCGGAATTTATTTATTTAATAAAATATGCATCGAATTTTATTCGATAATATCCGATTGTTGAGAATAAATGTGATTTTTTGATCAGAGGTTGTAAGCCCGATAATGAATTGCTTATGAATCGCTTATCGTTATGAATTTTACTCATAAATTTGTACCTGATGCTTATAAATTTTTGTACATATGTACCTAATTAATTATAAAATTTTATACATATCGATCGATATGTACCTGATTAAAATTTTTTTGTGCGTTGTGACGGTGAAAAACGGTATGACAATAAAAACTAACTAAAAAGGGTTGCTTTTACTCTAACTTTCAACACAGAATCTACTAAATCTACAAATCTTTCCTCTATACCCTAGCTGGTAGGCTTCGATTGAGGCGTGGTTTGATTTGGTCCGAGTAACTAGGGTCAATTAAGCTCTAGACTATGTCACGAATCTCTTTATACAGAATCACGGGATTTGGTCACGATTTCCAATCGTAATTACGGATCTCACTTATCGGGGGGGATTTAGTAGAACAAACGCTTCTACTTAAAAGACTTACTACTCACAAGTTAAATACTCTAATTTCTTTAACTTGGAACTTCGAACTCCACCCCCTTTTTCCTTTATTTTCAGCGATATGATTGTGCTTAAATACATTTTTACAGTTATTAATTAACTACGAACTTTTCTACCGATACGACCATATCTGCTATTTCTGCTATATCGGCTATTTCTGGTAGATCTGCTTTATCTGGCAGATATGCTATATCTGCTATTTCTGGCAGATATAGTAGTTATGGCAGATTCCAACCGATTTTGGTTAGATCGACCGAACCACCTCGATTTCGACCTTACGAATTTTCCCTTTCACAGCGTATGTTCCTGATTGTAACCTGATTACTTACAAATTTTTTGTACGTATTTACCTGATTGTAACCTAATTACTTATAAATTGTACATGATTATAATATCACCTAATTTTTAATAATCACTGTGTTTCAACTGGAGATTTTCGCCCATATGATTTCTAACTTTAATATGTATATATAATACCGGATCTGTATAGTACAGTTTAAAACTCGGCCTGTACCATACGGATCTGTTCACTTATTCCATAAAATCGCCGAATAATTTTTTCTCATGGATTTGTAATTTATAATTACTAAAACAGGTATAGGCATGACGATTTTCATATTCAG